ATGCACGATCCGAAGGAAGTCCAACCATACTTGACATTCCAGCTGAAATTAAGGAACAACATTTAATGAGAACTCCTAAAGCAGGGAATGTAATTGACAAGAAACCATTAGTGTAAATCATCACATGCAGAAATTAATGTTGAAATCCACTCAGTAATTTCAGTTGCTGGAAAACCGCATATCTGAATCTGATTCACTTAGTATGCTCATCATATAATTCAAGAATTATAAGACAGTTTTCCTCAGTTGAATAAACATATGAAAGTGCAATTTGCCTGATTTCAGAATTTACACCAAATGGTGCAACACTTGTAGTCACTTCTTCCTCCACTTCTGTTAAGTCATATAAATTGGTATAACTTATGTCAAAAAGCCTTGCAGATTGGGTAAAATGATATCATATATGATGCTGGCTGCGCCTGAAATACCAGTTGTTTAATATCTTCATGTATGCTTATTAGCAATAGAAACTTTAAGTTCCTTGAACTATTAACATACAAGGAAGGGCAACAGCAATTCAAAATAGCCTATTATTCTCTTTGATTGTGGATTTGCAAATCAAAACACATTACTCAATAAGAATTTAATGATGTGAGCTGACTGACCTGACGACAGCCATGGTTTCTCAAGGAGAATTTTGTAGTATGAATTGTCAAATACGATGGGGCTTCCAAAACCTTTACTTCCAAGAGTATGCGCCCCAGAAAGGGCAACAAGTTCTTGTGTGCTGTTCACAATGTAGGGCAGGGTTTAGATTAAACGAAAAACTAATTGAAAAAAAAAAGGATACAGAGTACAATACAAGTTAAGCACAGCATGCATGATGCAATCATTTAATCAGTAGTAATCAAAGCAGTTGTAAAATGCCAGCAACTTTAAGGGGCAATTAATTGAGTTCTTAGTTACTTGATATTCTATCAATCCAGGAATGATTGTCAATAAAGTTGTCTGATTTCTTCATAATAAAGGACTCCACATGGTTTACTCAAAATGCCTATTTAAAAAACTGTGTGACACCTATCAAGATATTCACTCAATTAAGCAGAGATATCTTAGAAAATCCTATCATAATCAACATACTTCTAGTTAAGTGACTAAGATCTCCGGACATTCCAAAATAGCATGTGCCACTATTGTATCTAGAGAAAAGCACTCCAGCAGGAATAACCTACTTGTGAATTACTAAAGTACTGTGCTGAATTCTCAGTAACTAGGTTGGCCCAAAACATGGCAGCCCAAACCTAAATGCAAGTGTTTGTTTGCAGTTTCAGAGTCGAAAAAAAAAAAAACCTAGTGACAGACAAAACACCCCATTAGGATTAATACGCTACATACTAACATCAAAATAGGACCATTAAACTCAGCTGTATTTTCGAAATCAAGATTTGAAGGATGAAATCAAAATGAGGCATAAAACTATGACCATTGGAATCTGGTGTCATGAATCTTAGAATAATATGTAACAGATGAGGTGGTTTGAAAGCAATAAGTCCCTATATTGTTAAATATCAAGTTTTAAGGAATCTCAATCTAAGTACACGCACTCACGAAAAGCCCTTTCTTTGAAAGCACTGTTTTAAGCTTGGTGCATCCAGTGATTCCTCCGGTAGTTTTTCTTCAGGATCTGGAGTCCTGTAAAATGAAATAAGCAAGTTGTCATAAGAGCATCTGAGCATGTACAACGGTGACCCAAAATACATTTCTATCCTCTTGCCTCTTTGTAATACAATATAGAGAGGGTATGTCAATCCATAAGGGGCAAAATGAAAGGGCCCAACGACAGTTTCTGTAAAGTCCTCTAAAAGATTCATCATGCCCATATGATCACCATTCTAAGTATTATTACATATCCAAAATGAAACTTGACAAGAATAAAAAGATTAAACTAAAAGTTTTATCCACAGGCACTCTCAAGCCAAGGGTAAAGAGATTACAGTGAATCAAGTCTTCCCAAACGAACTGGAATATCCGGACCTCCACAAATTGAGACTGCCTCAGCTCCTGCTACAGCAATCATGTCTGCCCAGGACACTAGTAGCACAACAAAACAAATTATACCTAATAATCCTGCCTAGAATAAAAGTTCAAATACATCCTTAAGTACTTTGTAACAATTGTCAAGGCCAGCTCACCTGATTGCCTCTCATCCACTACATTTTTGGCTTTCTCAATGATCTAAAACACGCATCCGATGACAAGTTAGGAGGTTGCTGTCACATTAGAATGGACCAGACATGGCATGTATAAATAAATTTTCATAGAACAGGCTTTCCCCAATGACGCAACATGCACTGCAAATATTTTGCATATGTGAAATCCAGGGATAAAATATTACCAAATACGAAATTATGAAACATTTTGAGGTTAGGAGGAGCATGCCTTTAGAGACTTTTTTAGCCCTTTATTCTCAGGCCTTTCAAGTTCGTATGTTATAGAGCCATTCATACCTCCTGCACAGAAATCGGGGTATTATGGGTACGTCCAAATTAGTAGTGCCAAGTTGGTTATAGGATAATAAAGAGGAATAAGGTTTATCTATGCCATATAATTTTTACAACTTATCGTTATAGATACTAGTTTTACTCTATCATGACAATGGGTTCAATAAACCAGGTCATGGAGACATCTGTCGTGCTTATCTCTCTGTTGTATCAGCAGAATTCAATAGTACTCAGAAGTTGTATTCACAATAACTTAAGGCTGTAGTTACATTTTGTGAGGGATATGTTGTTTGTTTTACTAAGCTCCATATAATTCTACACTCTATAGTCTAGCTTAAACCAAGTTGTACCAGAATTGGAGTAAATCATGTAGCTACTAGCTAGGATAACAATAATTCAGAACCAAGTTACAAGTTCTAGAACCCAGTAACAGTGCCTTGAATACCTGAATTCTCACTGAGCTCAAAGGTTCCTGCATCATGAAACACGAGACGAAGTACACCAGCAGCCTTTCCTTTGGACAAAACCTTCCTTATCTCATCCTTTATAAGTAGGTAATCAGGAGCTCCCAGCCTTCATATATATCATACAGTTGAGAGAAAAAAAAAGTTAAACAGATCCCGTGAATCCAAAATGATGAATTAAATTAAGGATGGAATACATGTACTAAGAAAATTTGATATCATATATTCATAACATTGCTTTTAAGTTCAAACCATTCTAAAATTCCACAGAAACAGAAGCTTCTGAAATTCTGTCATTGAGAGGACATACTCAAGTGAATCAAAAGCATGCATATAGTGGAGTACTGGATCAAAGTTGGTCATTTAAGGTAGTTTTTTGCATTAAATTCTAACATGTACTTGTATACAAAGTTGAGGCAGGAAAATTCAGGCTGAAAAGCACACCTTTCAGTTTTTACTAAAAGGACCCCGAAACTATGCTAAAACATCAATATTATGCTAAAACATGGAGATGGAATAAACAGACCCAAAAGCACAAGGAGAACATTTACTCACTCTTCTGCTTCAGCATTGAAATCTTTGACATATTCTTGCAAAGGGAATAAAGAAGGTAGAGTGACAGAAAGGAAAATGAGTCCTCTCCTCCCACACGAGCCGAGATTGCCATAACCATCTGTAAGCAAAACATTAAGCATTATACAGTTTATACCATCATTAAATCATTTCAACACAATACACAAGACCAAACTAAAAGTGCATATCTTAAATCATTGGCCATGTCAAGCTAAAATGTAATAATTTGTCTATCATGACCCTTTCAGACAGAAAAATTACAGAAAAATGTAATAATTTGGGTCATATTTAGAATTTCAGTGTCAATTAGTTTATTAAAGGAAGATTTAATCAGTACTTAGTATCTTCATGCACCTTAATCTATCATTACCCTTTAAATTGTACCATTCCCCTCAAATAAAAAAAAAAAATAATAAAAAAATAAACCCAAAACATATGAACTCTATAAATCATTGTTGTGTACTTCAAATGCAGAAAATAATTATTGAACAATTTACAAGAACAGATAACTTTAACAATCAAATGCCCACAAAAATTAAATAATGGAATATTTTCATAATTGATTGAATGTAAATAAATTATATAAAAGAAGCAAGTATGTGATGAATTACCTGAAGTGGGTGGAAGAGCAGAGGTAGGAGAGAGAAAGGGAGCTACTTTGGCGCCAAATTGGACGGTTGACGGCGAAGTTTTGGCGGGAAATTTGAATTTATTGAGGGGATTTGATGATTTCAGGGTGGCAAAGCAGCCGCGGAAAATCGACGATTCGCCGCCGGTGGTGGTCATCTTCAGCCAACGGTCCAAAACATTTATCTGATCCAAGAAACTCCTGCATTTTTTTCGATTTCTTTTTTTTATAAATCATGCGTATATTGGGCTTTATACACCATAAAATTGTTTGGATAATGTTTATGACAAGCCCATGGTGATACGTCAAATGGCTAGACGTGTCAAAATTGACTCGAATTAAAATTGTAGATGCATTTTATAAGTAACCAGACCCAACATTGACGCGAGTAGAAATTGACAGGAAAATTACACTTATTTTGTACTTTTATTAATCTCAATATTTTGAATTTTAGATGCGTAACTCCTGCTGGAATGAGAAATAATTACCTTGTTTATAGACGAGCCTGAAACATGATTATGCCCTTTGATGACACGGTGCTCACTACCGAGGGAAGAATGACGAAAACTAAGACAGCCACCCCAGTCAGCAACCGAGCTTACCACATGCAGAAGAAATCATAGAGAAACTGTCTATTAGTCAAACTACTAGCATTTTTTTATTTGCAAAATCTCCATATAGACAAGAAAATAATACAGTATGTTACAATAAGGTTGAGTGATGGCTTAATTGACTTGTCTAGTTTCTGCTAATTTGACTTAATAATCATTCCTGCAGACATTTCATAAGTACCAAATCTGGCAAATAATGACCCACAAAATTATATAACAAGCTATTCCTTGATCTTTATCTACAAAGTACAAAAGTATTTCATAAGCACACTGCATACCGATATCAGTGAATCAGTGGTATGCTCCATTACTTCCATACAAAAAAGATTACAGAATTTGATTAAACTATATGAACTATATGATACTCCTGTATACAGTTAAACTTGATTAAACTAATCCTTAACCATTATATATATCACCAGCTATCTTGGCCCAGAGAGCTGGACAGCTGACAGAACAGATGACCTCCGAGTTCCATTGCCCGTCCATTTATATAACTTCGGAGAAAACCCCACGCTTGTTAAGGAAGATGTTGGAGGATGAGGAACAGGGCAGACTCCTTCAAGCATTTGGACAACTGTAGTCATAGGGGGTCTCATAGACATGTCTTCTTGTATGCACCATAATGCAACCTTGATCGCGATTCTTACACTCTCTTCATTAGGGTCATATTCTAGGCTAGAATCAAGGATTTCTCTTAGCTTCCCTTCCTCCATCATCTTGAAAACATAGCTTGCAAAATGGGATTTTTCAGAGGGAAGTGAAGGATCATAGTTTTTCCTTCCTCCTATGATCTCAAGCAACACCATTCCATAACTGTAAACATCGCTCTTCTCTGAGATTGCGTAGTTTGTTATCCATTCAGGTGCAAGATATCCCCTTGTGCCTCGAAGTGTAGTAAAAACATGACTTTGCTCCCTTGTCATCAATTTGGCTAGCCCGAAATCTGATACCTTAGCCACAAAGTGTGCATCAAGGAGTACATTTTCCGGCTTTATGTCACAATGAACAATCTTCACTTCACAGTCTTCATGAAGATATGCTAACCCTTTCGCAGTACTCACTGCAATGTTGAACCTTGTTGGCCAATCCAGCACACAATCATTATCAATATTCCTTTTGAAAATCCATTTGTCTAAAGACCCATTTTCCATGAACTCATAGACTAGAAGCCAATGGTTCCCTTCAGTACAAAAACCCTTTATTTTGACCAAATGGATGTGATGGATGCTGCCTATGATGCTAACTTCTGCTCGAAACTCCTTAACCCCCTGACCCATTCCTTCGAGTTTTTTCACAGCAAGTAAAGTTCCATCCGGCAGCTTGCCTCGGTAAACTGACCCAAACCCTCCTTGCCCGAGTTTCAGAGAGAAGTTGTTGGTTGCTTCCTGAAGAAACCTGTAGCTATATCTGACTGGCATCCCAGAAAATGACTCAAAGAAACTTTCATCTTCTGAAGTGACAAGAAAAGATTTGAGCGCTTCCTTTTTCTTCATGTAATACCAGTATCCTCCACAAACCATAGCCACAATGAATACAGTAAAGACTACAATAGAGACGACTATTGCCAAGTGCTTACTTTTGCTTCGGTCATCCACTTCTCCAACAACACCATTCTTTGAAACTTTAACATAGACGGAATATTTGGAAGAGGGATCAGAGACAAAACTTCCAATCCAATCAAAGAGGAAGCAGTTATGCGAAGTTTTATCAAATATTAAACCAAGGCAAGAGCAATTAGAAGCACAGGAAGCCTGGCAGCCGTCAAAATTAGTTTTCATGGATGGCTCAGTGAACCAAAGAGCAAAGTAACTGAGGTCATCTCCAGCATTGACTAAATCATACCTCTCATCTGGATTTCCACACGGAGCAGAGATACCAGCATTACACGACCGAGAGACTAGACCTGAGGGGCACCGGCACCTACTACTAGAACAAGCGAGATACACGTCACAAGGCTCTGGTGTTCCACAAGGATCATTAGGTATTTTCACTGCAGAATTAACCTTTAAAGGTCCATTTCCAAGGGTGTATAAGGCCAAAATTCCATCACTCCGTAAGACTGCAACCCAAGTTGAATTCATAGCAGTAGGATTGGAAGAGAGCACAAATTGCCATAGCAAGGCCTTGTTCTTATCAAAAAACTTCCATGAATTCGACTCAATCCTAGCTGAACTAATCACACCGCCATCCTTGTCAATGATCTTCCTGGTGTCCTTTCTCATAGACCAATATGTCTGGGGTGTCTTATGCCTAGTAGAAAGAATCATATCCCCAAACTTGATCTCAAGAGCATATGTCAAGTTACTCTTAGTAGGATCAGGAATACTCGATAGCTGCATTCCTTGTACAAAATTCTGATTCGAAAGAAGGGTGTTGGTAGGATACCTAAAACTCTCCCAAACTATGGTACTATTATCACTCCCAAACAACACCAAGTTCCCTGAATTCTGCAATTCAATCACAGACACCAGTTTTCCACCAGTATCGGGTTCCCATACCGCCTTCCCTTTGCTATGAAGGGACACACTACTATTAGTCCGAAACACAAACTTATCAGAATTGGCAACAGGGGAGGCTGTATTTGTGGTCCACACAATTGTGGAGCTGTCTCGGTGTATGATCACTAATAGGAACAAGGTGGCATCATTTGTGGGTTTGAACCCAAATGCAAATGTAGAGTCATTTGATAACAGAAATAACCCATTGTGATCAATATGACTCATTTGAGAGGCTTGATACCCTGGAGTTATGGTGCCAATTTGTTGAACAGAAGCAATACAAGGTTGGGAAAATGCTAGAAAAACTAGTATACATACTGAGCATTTTAAGAGAATGAAACCCAAGTTTCCCATAGCTAACTAACTAAAAACAAAATTTTTGTACTACTGAAGCTAAAGACTCACAAATAAACTTTATAATTATATATCCCAGAAAGATTGACTTACCTAAATTGGAAAAATTGATCAGGAAATCTTACAATCTTCAATTCTAGACTGATATGATTATAAAAATGAAACCTTTCAAAGCTTTCTGTGTGTTATAAAAAAGCAAGATGAAAACAATGCGTAAATATGACTTATATTACACCTAAGTTGGTAAAGTCGCGGGCAATGGTATCCAAAACTTGACCAAATCTGTCTTAACTATGTTAGGATAAAAACAAACTACCTTCTTGGAATGCATAAAAATTGGCTGAGAATAAAAATATTATACTATACAAATAATAAAATATGAATGGTAGTAATTCAATAGGTGCACTCAACTTAATTCAGATAAGAAGGTGGAAATTTAACAGCCCCTACAAAGTTTAAAGTCTTAATGCAGTTGAACAGAAGTCAAATAAAGAAAGAGATGGGGCACCACCCTAGCCATAAAATTATGAATGCTAGTAGCCGAAATAGAAGAACCTCAGTCACCCACATCCTCAACCCTCCAAGGCACCAACACTCCATTTCCCATATTATTTAATTATAATGAAATTATCTATCTTTAACTATATGTTTGTTTATATTATCTCAAACTAATTTTACACAAGTGGGAAGTCTACTGTGTATGGGCATATTCTGAACACATATGGACAATTAAAGTTAAACAGATCAAAGAAGGTTCATACCATTCATATAACAGAATATGAACTCATTGCAATAAGGTTATGATCATTGGAGTTACTGTATATAAATATCTAGGGGAAATTGATTGGTTGGCCACACCGCCACGGTCGAATGGCCAGCCATTTTTAGCTATTTTTACCGGATGGATGTGGGAAATAATTGTTGTCTTTTACTTCTCTTGTTTGTGAATTGTTTGAAATGTTCCTAATAGCACCATAGGCGGAGTGAATTTTGCTTCTAACGTTTTCTAATTTTACAGTGATGGCACTTGTAGAGCAATCCAATCGAGAATCGATACCCATGACTACTAAGCTACTAGTAGTGATTTGAAGGCACAATCAATATTTTAGATAATTTGATTTCAATTGTAGATGTCATATGAACCATATAGTAATAAATAAAGTCAATCCACATCGACTCGTAGGCTCGTAGCATAGTGCCCTCACTAATTCAATGTGCCTCATTTTCACATAAACATGGTTAAACCCCTGAATATGATGCCTCAAATTTAAATTACAAAGTATAGAGTACTCAACCATTGATTTAAATAATCTTAACACAATCTCCTTTAAAACCAAATTATAATGATGACAACCAAACAAAAAATGATAGTAAAATTATTCATCAATTTCAGTTATAAAGCCACAATTTCAATTATAAAGTCACAAGTCTCACAACAGTAACGACTTATAGTATTGCCGGGCCAAAAACTAGTTACTACGGGTATTTTCTTCATTATTTCAGAAAAGAATACACATTTCATTTGCGCACAATATGGTAGATTGAAATTTTTCCAAGAATTCAACTTCAATACAATATAAATTTGAAATAAACCAAAAACGGAAATGAAATCAAGAAGGTCATGAATTACAACTACCTACAGTAGGGTTTCGGACGTAAAGTTATGACGCTTAAATTGGACCGTTGAAGGCGGAGAGTTGGCGGGGCATTTGAATTTTACGCCTGCCTTGGCCGCCGGTACTGATCGTCATCTTCGGAAAACGATTGAAAAAATTAAATAAAATAAAATTGATTTTCTTCAAATTTTTATTTGTTAACTTATGGGATCCTGTGTTAATATTGGACTTCCCTAAAAAACCAAATTAATATTGGGCTTCATATAAAAATTTTGCAAGTCCAAGTCAAGAATCGTGGAGTTGCGGTCAATAGGTCTCCTTTGGGTCACCCTAGTTTTGGGATGTCAATTTTGTAAGACTGCAAAAAATTTCGATTTTTTTTCGGGATAGAAAGTCGATTTATGTTAATATTCGAGTATAGTGGTTGATCAATCATAAATACATGAATGATGAATAAGATAATGCTTACTAATCTTTACACGCATCAATAATTATATCTACGTATTTATGGGTGTGAACTTAATAGATTTTATTATTATTTCACGTATCATTATTTCAAAATTTTCATGTAGCATTAGATATAGACTTCTCCTTAGGGAAGGTGTGATTTCCTATGGCTCTCATTCATGATTCATACGAAGTACTACTTTTGAGGTATTTGTTTTATTGGTAGACTTAAAATTCAGATCGTGGTTATGACTAAATCTCATTTGTTGAAGACACGTAGTATGTTGGTTGTTTATTACGTAATAGAATTTCTTGCAAAACTCAACCAACTTTTATTTTCTACGAATAATAGACTCTTCACTCGTGCAACATCCCTTCCCTAGTCCCTCCTATCTCATTTTAGAGTTCTTACTAAATAAGGAGTAAGTAGTTCAAAGACCTAAGACATAAGTTTGATTTTATCTCTAATTAAAGCTAAACATCCCTTCCCCAGTTCCCCCTATCTCATTTTGTTTTATAATATGAAGTGTGTATAACAATTAACAACCTCATTGGTAAAAATTCAAAAGGTCAAATCGAGCAAAGGTGCAATGGTCAAACTTGTTACATTATTGAAGTTGAAAATGGTCAATTTTTATTGTTTCTTAACAATGATAATGGAAACAATTGGATACTTTTTCTATATCACATATTTTATTATTTTTTTTTTTTTTCAAAGTAAGGTGAAGGCATCTAAACCTCACACATGCTAACTTAGTCCGTATTAGACTGAGTTAAACTAATAATATTCACTAAAATAAGTTAGGTCTATTAAGTTAAGTTTCAACCTGTAATAATCGATAATTTCAAAGAACAGATACAGTAATGAATCAATAAAAGTAATTTAGATTCCGTAAACATTAGGTGAAGAGAGAACATGATCTTGAGACTCTTTAAAGTGAGGGATAACTGGATAAGGGATAAATGGTCAATTTATGTGTAAGATATGGAGTACAAATTTACGATTTTTATTATTAGAGCAAGTAATATCATTACTTACTCCACATCCTTGGGATATATACTAGATATTGTGCATTTGGGACAAGTAGCCTTCACGATTCTAGTCATTGCTCCTTTGCCAACTTATTGCATCGTCTTTTCATTTTTTATTTGTTATTAAAAACTATTGTGGTGGAATCTCTTTAGTAATTAGAAGCCGTCGTTTCAGATTTTGATTTGAGAATTTGATTGGTTAGACTTGTGCTTTTTTAGTTGATTGAGTGATGGACTGAGTAGTGCGATAGTAGTTGGACAGTTATGTAGCAGATTAGCCTCCCATTTGCATGAGATTTCAATCATGTTAAAACTCTTGTTAAGTCAATCAAATTGCATAATCCGAGTATTTAAATAATCAATAAATATTTCATATTTGATTAAATGTCATTTTAGAAGAATTGAGTTAAATACTATAATTATTTTTCATTATACTTCGTACTAAAAAATGTGTTTTGATCACATCACAAGTTAAAAAGTTGTCTATCATTTGCGGATAGTTTAAAATACTTCATATGTGACTTACTTTGTACAGTATTTCGTAAGAGTATTACTTAAGGGTGATGTAATCAATAATCATAATACAATAAATAAGAATATAGATTCAAAAATTAAATAAAAATTGGCATATGATATGTCAGACAAGTCAGAACAGCAAAGACTCATTTATGCTTGGATGATTGATTCTGTTATGTGGCAACACCAGGATATACAGTAGTTTTGCTGTTGCTTTAATTTGATTAAATACTCTTTTAAGTTGACATTTGTTCCATTAATTAGTAATTTTATAATTCTCTATAATCTTAAGTACAAGGTTTGGTTTCTTGGGATAATACATTTGACACCCATGGGAAGAAAATCAAATCTGGACAATAATGACAAATTTTATGTAACAAACTATTCTTCATACCTAATCTATGTCACAAACATAGTGTTTCATACAAGAAGATATTATAACATTGTGTAACAAAACTTTCAATGACCTCTAACTAAATTATACTTGTATGTACAAGATGATACAAATGAAATATATTCCTGTATAGTGTATAGGCACCAACTATCTTGGCCCTGATAGCCGGACAGCCGACTGGTAGGCTTCGCTGTTGCAATCCGATGGCCCTGATGAACTCCCAGTCGCGGTACCCTCATTGCTAGATAACTTAAAGAAGTTAGAAAATAGCCTTGCACCCGTCAAGGAAGACGTTGGGGGCATAGGAACAGAAGAGATGCCTTCAAGCATTTGGACAACTTTAGTCATAGGGGGTCTCATTGACATGTCTTCTTGTATGCACCATAACGCAACCTTAATCGCGGTCTTCACACTCTCTTCATTAGGGCCGTATTGCAGACCTGAATCAAGGATTTCCATTAGCTTCCCTTCCTCCACCATCTTGAATGCATAGGCCGGAAAATGAGATTTCTCAGAGGGAAGTGAAGGATCATAGCTTTTCCTGCCTCCAATGATCTCAAGCAATACCATTCCGTAGCTGTACACATCACTCTTCTCTGAGATAGCGTAGTTTGTTATCCATTCGGGTGCAAGATATCCCCTTGTGCCTCGAAGTGTGGTAAAAACATGACTTTGCTCCCTTGTCATCAACTTGGCTAACCCGAAATCTGACACTTTTGCCTCAAAATGTTCATCAAGAAGAACATTCTCTGGCTTTATGTCACAATGGACAATCTTCACCTCACAGTCCTCATGAAGATATGCTAGTCCTTTGGCAGTTCCCACCGCGATATTAAACCTTGTTGGCCAGTCTAGCAAACAATCATTAACCTTATTTCTCTTAAAAATCCATTTGTCTAAGGAATTGTTTGCCATGAACTCGTAAGCTAGAAGCCGGTGGCTCCCTTCAGTACAAAACCCCTTCAGTCTGACCAAATGATTGTGGTGAATGCTGCCTATGATGCTAACTTCAGCTCGAAACTCCTTTTTCCCCTGACCGACCCCTTCAAGTTTCTTCACAGCTAGTGGAGTTCCATCAGGAAGCTTTCCTCTGTAAACTGAACCGAATCCTCCTTGCCCAAGCTTCACAGAGAAGTTGTTGGTGGCATCCTGCAGAGACTGGTAGCTAAATCTGACCGGCATCCCTGCTAACGACTCAAGAAAATTGTCCTCTTCGGAGAGTTCCTGAGGACTTCCCGGCACTTCCTTCTTTTTCGTGTAATGCCTGTATCCTACATAAACCATACTGACTACAATCAGTACAGTCAGGATAACAATGGTGATCACAACAGGCAAGTGCTTACTACTGCCTCCACCATCCCCTTCTTCAACACTTTCGTCTATTGTAGCTTTCACAAAGACGGAGTATTTGGATGTAGGATCAGAAGTAAAGCTTCCAATCCTATCAAACAGATAGCAACTGCGCGAGCTGTTATCAAAGAACAAACCAAGGCACGAGCAATTACCAGTACAAGAGGCCTTGCAGCCATCCAAATCAGTTTTCATGGATGGCTGAGTAAGCCCAAGAGCAAAGTAGCTAAGCCCATCCCCGGGATTAACAAGATGAACACTGGCACTCGAGTTACCACATGGATCAGAGATGCCGGTTGTACAGGACCGTGAGACTAGTCCTGAAGGACACTGGCACCTGTTACTAGAACAAGCATTATATGCATCACAAGGCTCGGGTGTTTGACATAGATCACTCGGTATTTTCACCTGAGAAACCACCTTTGATGGACTATTTCCAATGCTTAGGAAGTCCAAAAACCCATCACTCCCCAACACTGCAATCCAAGTAGTATTCCTAGCCATGGAATTAGGGGAGATCACCAATTGCCATAACAAAGACTTGCTATCATCATAAAACTTCCATGAATTCAACTCAATCCTCGCCACCTTAACCCCCCTACCATCCTTATTAATGATCTTGCTAGTATCCTGTTTCATAGACCAATAAGTCTGGGATGTTTCATACCCAGCAGAAAGAATCATATCACCAGACTTAATCTCAAGCACATATGACAAGTTACCCTTATTAGGATTACTCGAAAGCTTCATCCCTTCGACAAAATCCTGATTCGAAAGAAGGGTATCAGTAGGATCTTTAAAACTCTCCCACACTATAGTACTATTATCACTCCCATACAAGACCAGGTTCCCACTATCCTGCAATTCAATCACAGAAACCGGTTTTCGCCCTGTATCCGGCTTCCATACCGCCTTTCCTCCACTTTGGAGGGACACACTACCATCACTATCAAACACAAAACTATCAGAATTCCCAACTGGGAAAACTCTATTAGCAGTCCACACAATTGTGGAACTCTCTTGGTGAACAATGACTAACAAAAACAATGTTACATCATTAGTTGGTTTAAACCCAAATGCAAAAGTAGTGTCCCTTGATAACAGAAATAACCCATTATTATCAATAAAACCCATTTGAGATGCTTCAAACCCTGGAAATATTTTGGTACTTCTTTGAATACTACCAATACAAGATTGATTTAATGCAAGTAGAATAAGCAAAAATAGTGGGAATTTGAAGAGAAGAAAACCCCAATTTCCCATTTTTAACAAACAATTTGCACAAAATTCTAGAATTTTGCACTAAGATAATTGTCAGAAATATAGTCACTTCAAAACTGAGAAATAAAATCAGGTAATCTCAGAATCATTTTGGACTAAACATATACTTTGTATGAACTTAAATTATGCTATGAACAAAGCAAAATTACCCAAAATTTGTGAAATTGATCAAAAAAAAATTTAAGATGATGGGGTCGGCTGCATGAATCAAGAATCTATATTTCGTGCTCGCCCACGAAATTTTTTAAAGGGTGTTCTCAATTAAGGCAAATATGAAAGAAAACAAACCCAGAAAATTGAATTTTGGATTGTGAAAAGAAGTTAGAGGAATAATAGAAAAAATGCCTCATCTTCTGGAATAGCTAGTAAATGAAAGTAGTTCAGAAACAAGAAAATTTTCTCTCTCCTAACTGGCCTAAGTTTCTGGATCAAAAAGAGAAAATAATACAAGTGGGATTTTCTCACATGGGTCACCTTCCTTTTTCATTAATAAGATGAAATACATAATTTTATTTATAGACTATATACTTTGTTTCTACTTTCTATTGAAAAGAAAGATCTGAGTTGGGTTTTTTAAAAAAGAAAATATGCAACAGAGAAATTCTGTATTGTTATGAGGGTGAAATATGCATAATTTGGATAGGAAGATTATAATACAAAGTATAATATATTAGGAAAATTCGGTTTTAATAATCCCACCTTTGACCGGTTCGCTCTTAATAAACCCATCTTTTGATTATTATCTAATAATCCCATCTTTATACGACATTCTTTTCTACTGGTCCCTTGTGACCGGTAACCTATACGTTTGGCTTTTTTTTTTTTAATTTACTAAATGACATGTGTCACTACACGAATGGATAAAAAAATATAAAAACTAAAAAAATATAAAAACTAAAAAAATATTCAAGGCCACAACACTTCACCTCCTTGTTCGCCACCTCCCTCCTCATGCACAACCCACCCAACCACAACAACCACCGCACTTTCTGAGCAGCAACCCACAAAACTTCACCTCTCCATTCGCCACTCTCCCCCTCACAGCTCGTACTCACTCAACATCAACAGCGCATAGCGGATAGCAGCAACCCAACCACCCCAATCACACATCGCAACCACCGTCGCGCCACCCATGCAACTCTTACATCAATGCCAACCCAAATTCGATCACCCAGAAAATTGTGATTATTGAAGCATCACAACCCCAATGTTCGCTCCACCATTGCACCATCAAATTCGCTCATACTCCCTGCGATTAACTAGAGCAGACAGTTTTCGTTGGATGAGGGTGGGGAAGGGGGTTAGTTCCGGTAGTGGGAGGTGGGGAGGGAGGTTTTCGGAGGGTGGAGGGCATGGGGAGGGGATGGATGCCAGAGGGTTTGGGCTAGGGTGGTGTGGGGGTTTGGGGTTCGCTGGTGGGTTACTTTTGTTAATTTTTTTTATTCTTTAAATTTTATTTTTTTTTTTTAATTTTTTTATTTTATAGATCTATTAACTAATCATAAAGTGACATGTAGCATTTTAACCTATTAAAACCGGTTACCAACAGGTAAGGGACCAATAAAATAGAATGCACTATAAAGGTGGGATTATTATATAATAATAATCAAAAGGTGGGATTTTTAACAACGAACCGATCAAAGATGGGATTATTAAAAGCAATTTTTCCAATATATTATTGAATTTTAGGATAATGATATAGTATAAAGTATTTGATAACTTTAGGAAATGGGTAAGCAAGATTTTCAATGAGGTTTGATGAGGGTAGATAGGAGTTCATCTGGAAGAGTAAACTGAGGGAAGGAAGAAGAAATTAAAGAAAAGTGGGTGATTTAATTAATGAGAAAGTTGGACGAAAGTGATAGTGATTTCAAGTCAATTTGTTTTGCAACCAATTTTTATGCTTTACACACCCTATTACGCAGGCTTATTGCCTATTTTGGTCCAAAGTATTGAATTCTCTCATTGCCTCATCCAATCATCAACTAGTAGATTTGGAACTTGGTCTAATGGTAAAGATTTATTTGTGCAATCAAACTCACTCGAGAGTTTAAGAGTTAGGAGCACTTTGGGAGCGACAACTCTTACCATTTCCTCAACTCTTGATTAATAAGGGAGGGATCAAGTAGTTCAAGCCTACTAGAAGTTAAAATGGATAAAGTTAATACATCGAGATTCTTGTTTAACGCAATTAAGATTTTGGACTAAGATACACATTGACTCAGTGACATTGTAGTCAAAAAATACAAATACTTTGTACCCGTGTTAAAAAACATGACATTATGATAAAAGAACATGTGTTGTGATTTTTTTCGTAGCTATAATAAAAATTGAAACTATACTTGTATGTATCATGTTCATTTACGAACACAACACATAGGGTAAGAATGTAACATATTCTTTAGTTCACAATGAGCATTGTGCACTCTTGTTCTAGTCTATAATCTACTACAGAGTAATTGCTTGTTTAGGACACTAAACATATTACACTACCAAAATAAGTAGTATAATAATACAAGTAGTAATAACAATTGGGTTTCTTTTGAATATTGGAAGAGACAGAAGATTTTGTTTCATTTTAATTTGCTTGTTTGATCAAAATCACAACTACTCTTTTGTTATTTACTGGTAGGTAGAAGACATTTATTTATTCGTTTGTCTACGTAGCTTGTAGTTCCAAGCTTCTAACATTACTGCTGTGCTAAAGCCTAGAGGTATACCAAGTAGTCAAGTACCATGAGTCATAACACAAAATATAAGTTTGACACATGACCCTATCATCAAAGACCTCGATAATCTTAAATTCAAAATATAGCTGCTAGACCATAAGAAACCAGGCCATTTGTACGGATACTCTTATTTTATTTTCCTCGGTGCAATATTGAAATTACTACTCATATTATTGACCAAATTAGATATATTAATATATGGAATAACAACTAATTTTAACATAAGATGTTGATCGGAAAATGGATTTCATTACATAACCTAAAAAACTTCATTATATAATTCCCCATCGCTATAGTACTAGAGCAAGAGATTGAACTTATTAATTTGGTGAAATATATAACCTATTAATAAGTGTTACAAATGTTGGAAAAATACCTGTTGAAATCAAGAACAAAGACAAGAGATACCGTTATAACTGATTAAGCTCCGTCCTCCTTTGATTGTGTCGTGGTTTGGAACCCAATGCCTTAGAAGCGAAATACGCCACCACCGGTACAGATATCCCAGTGACGCATGCCCCCTAGCTAAGTTTTATACATACAATGACCTCTGCAATGTGTGTACCCGAACTCGAAGGTTGGAATTGCTCAAAAACTCTTCAAATCTCAAAGGGTAGGTTTGTGTTTTTTATTTCATATGAATGAATGAAAGAAAATAGACGCCACTCGTATTATATGAGTCCCAAAATAGGAAATAATAAACAAGCCGACCCTCCCCAGAAAAAGGCGCGCCCGGCCGGGCATCCAGCTGCCCGGCCGGCCCTAGCGAAATCTCCTTCTCACAAGCAATCGCGCCCGGTCGGACGAGAACCTTTCACTTGACGTGAAATCCCGGACGAGCCACCGGGCGGACCTCGCCCGCCAGGCTTGTAACTCTCATCGTTCGCCGCCCGGTTGGGCGAATCACCGCCCGATCGGGCATGAGAACACAAGAATTCTGGGCCGTCAATTCGCCCGGTCGGGCGGGTACGAGTGTATTTGCAAACGTGTTAAATCCGCCCGGTCGGGCACAAGTCACCCGACCCACGCTCGTAATAGCTTTGCAATTCGTCTGATTGCATTACCATTTCCAACAACAAAGTACAAGGTAATCCTTAAATGGCAAATATAATGTGCAATCACTAATTTTGGTTGACTTAGATATGAGCGCAGCAGATACTACTCACACTAGCAGTGAGACACTTCTAGGATTATTATTGGTAGAAATCCAGAATGCAACGATACTATCTGCTCTCCAAAAATTTCTTTGGTAGTGCATGCATACGCCACGTTGCATTCTGCATGGAGCATTATCAAATTTTAATTGCTTTGACAATGACCACGAACCCCATATCCCAAACCAAATCCTTTTATTCGATTGAACATTTGAACTCATTGACATTATGATCTGACATTTCTTAAATGTTTAAATCAAATTATAAAGATAATAAGTCGAATCATGTCATACAAATTACTTCGTATAAAAATAACAATTCATATTAGAATAAATAAAGTACATATGTAAATATATAGGCCAAAACACCTTAAATAAAATAAAGCGAATAATAATTAATGTCATAGTAAAGCGAAAAAAATGATCCAACATTATCATACAGATTAATAATAAGTATGTACTCCGCTTTTTATAAATGTTCACTGAGACACTGAGTTGATTATAATTAATGGTCAAAATTATATCTTAATTGCAAAGACGACAACTAGCTAGAAAAGAAAGGGGCAATGGAATCCAGTTGATGTAAGTTGGACCTAGGCGCGACGACTAAATAGAATGTGATCCACCAGCGTTAAAATAGAAATAGAAGGTCCCATAATCACACTAATATCACGTTTTTAATCAACAAATCAAATACCATACAAGTTGAGTGTCACGTTATATTGTCCAACCTAATTGATTGATAATTTGATATTGATATTCCTAATAATATGTATGTATGTACACCATTTCAATTATGACCAGCTCTTGTAGGGCTGCTTCTTGTCGTTTCAACCCCCTTCTATCACCTTGCTTCGTAAGTCAATGCGTGTACATCCAATGTAACGGTCACTGTTTGAGCATATTTGTTAATTTTATTTATGCACCATTAATTTAGACTCTCAATATCACATCGTTCTCCCTACATATTAGATCGGCAAATAATCATCGGGTATATATTAATTTCAGCACTATAGTACAGGGTTACCGAATAAGCGATGATCACTTGTTCCTAAACTACTTAATTGCCAAATATACGTAACCATAAAGTACGAGTATGAGATTACTATTACAAAAGGATAAAAAAGCAGATTTAGACAATAATAAATAGTCTTTTTATCGATTTAAATCCAAATTTTAATTAATAGGCTTAGTTCAACAATTTCTCACAATGAACGCTAATCACCCGCTTATTGTATCTATAGCCCTATAAGTTGTGAGTTAATGCAAAAGAATGATGTATATGTTGTTCCAACTTTTCATAATCTATCCAATCAAAATTAAAAGTTTTTACTTATATAATAAACTTGCAATAATCATCTTATGATTTCAACATAATTAATTATATATTATATTATAATAATTTCAATGCTGATGTGAGCATTGTTATATTTGTTATCGTCGTTGGAACCGGGCACCACAAGGGAACTAATTAAGCAACAATTCCTTGTTCAATTTTTAAAAGAAGATTATTTTAAATATCTTTATGCAATGGACCCAAATTACCATACTCTGATGCTCATGGATTTTAGAATACGTACGATAAAAGTACATGTGCATAACTAAAAGGCAAATTAAAGTTTTTTAACGTTGAAAATTAGTCCCATATCATTTAATTTGAACTACTCGCCAATGATAATACAGTTTAATGGTGATGATATGACTAAGTTAATCTAATGATCTCCCGTCAAAATTAGTGATTAATGACAGCCACATGACAAGATAATGATGCAATCCAAGATATTTTCATCAATTTAGGCATAATTAAGCTACATTACATGCTTCGTTCAATAAAAAGAAAAAAAAAAAAAAAAAAAAAAAAAAGCTACATTAGATCGATGCTAATTTGGAGATCGAATATCAAGTTTCCTGTACCGTACAAGATCTCATTTGTGTCCCTCTATACACTATATTGTGTATTCAATATGAGAATGAGGGATAGCTCAAATGGTTAGAGCGTCCCTCCCAGTTTCATGAGATCTTAGGATCGATTCTCATCACCTGCCCATGTGGCTCTCTAAACCCCCACCCAAAAAAAAAAAAAAAAAATGTGTATTCGATATTAGACTATGTGCTCTTTAACTCTTTCTATCAAAATAGCGTTTAATAATTATGTGATTTATTTCCTATTCGTATTTTGTAAGGAGTAGTATTCTCTATATTCATATTATTAAGAGAATAATGAGCAGTCTATTAAACAATTGGGGAAGAAGGAAGAATTTTTTTTTTAATTTTTGGACCAAAATATATACTCGAATGTTTAATATTCATCCTATTTAAAACTTTGATACTCTGCATATATACTACACCCCTTAACAACAGGAGATGCAATACTACATTACTACTCCGTACGTAAGATCTAAAAGCTATTACATATGCAAGTTGTTGCGCCCATAATAACCAGAAACCAACTATGGTGGAAATTTAAACTAGCTCCCTAAATATTTTTGCCCTACATGCATATGGTTATATATATATATATATACATGCATCCATTTATATATAGATTAGATTATAATAATAATAATTTCAATATTATATTATGATCG